TTAAACATTCTGATATTGAAAAGTAACTAACCTCAAAGTTTTCACAATTTTACCTATGCTACAATATTATTATGTTCCTAATAACATAAGGATCAAAAATCAAAACCTTTTAAAGTTCATGTCCATTAATGCGACATAAAAAGGATACTGCTTCCAATAAGAGACACAAGACGAGACACAGGAAGTGGCCTGTCAAATACGAATCTGGAATCCAAACACTCCTGGCGCATAAAATTGCTTTAAAAAAAAAAAAAAAGAGGAAAAATTAGTAATTTCAAATCACAGTTATTCCAATCTAAATAAAGCAGTTTTGTTTCTTTCTGCTTTCTTCCAGATACTTACAAGGATTACATTCATGTAAGGGACACATGGCCATGGGATGCATTTTTTGTACTAAACTCTGGGACCAGATGAGGTTTTTAAAAATCAGATTAGAATCTTCCTTAGCTCTAGAAAATCTTTGTTTGAAAATACCTTATAGAACTGAAAAGAAGGAAAAATTTCACCTCTCTTATCTTTCTCCTTGTCAGTCCATTTGTCTTAATGGACTTGAACCAGCAAAAATACCTAGTCTGCTTTTTTCGTGAAAGCGTACTAAAACTTCCCAGCTGAGAAAGTGTAAGAAGTAGAACCTCTACTACACATCTCTATGTGTTGCGGCCAATGTTACTTCTATCCCAAAGCAGCACTTTAGAAGAGATACTAGACACTAGACTGTTGGGTCTCATTGTTAAACCTGACAAAATTCAAGCAAGTATAGCAGTGGGGATGAAAAAAGAATCCATGCTCAACCATGAAAATCAAGAGGATATTCAACAAGAAATGGATATGCTTCTTTCTGTATTACTCTGTCTGGTTTATGTATCACAACTGATGACCATTAACTGTAGAAACCAAGCTATTTAATCAGTATTTTTATTTAAGTCCATTTCCCCACACTATCTAAAACTGCATTTCCTAATATGGCAGTTACTAATCACATGTAACTATTGGGTACTAGGAAAGTGGCTAGTCTGAATTGAGATATACTCTTTCATGCAAATATACAATAAATTTCAAAGCCCTAGCACACAAAAAGGGTAAAATATCTCCCTTTAAAGTTTTTATATTGGTTATATAAAATTATATTATATTATATATGACTATTTTATTTTATTTTTTAATTTTTTATAGAGGCATATTTTATTTATTTATTTATTTGTTTGTTTATTTTTGTTTATACATGCACTCGGTACAGTCAGAAGCACAGGAGGGTGAGAGAATTCACCAGAGCCAGAGCGGGGAGCAGAGCAGGCAGAAGGACCAAAGTACACTGCTGAGGGGAGCAGCGGGTGGCAGGAGAGGTCTGTGCGCCATGTGGGACCCTCCTCTGGTGGCCGGGGAGCAGCTGGGGATCGAACCGGTGCCGCAGAGGCCTCGGGCAGCTTCGCAACCCAGCGCTCAACCGCTGCGCCACCGGGGAGGCCCATATATATGACTATTTTAGATAGATTGGGTTAAATGAAATTATTACTCACCTCCAGTGTTTATATTCTTTTTTCCTTAATCTTTTTATAGACTTAAGAGACTAGTCTTGGCTAACTACCATCTATCTCTGAATACACACTTTCAGTGTTAAGTGAAAGGCACTGTTTTAAGTACACATACTAGGGTATTCAAAAACCTTGGAAAAAAATACCAAAACATGTGAGAGTTTCAGTGGCTAGCTCAATCTCAAATACTAAGGGGTAATAGTGGCAACAGGCCTCCATGGTGTCGCAAGGGGTTAAGAAGCAACCTATGAAGCTACCCACAGTCACTGAAGCACAAGTTCGATCCCCGGCGGGAAGCTACCCACATGGTGCCGCAGACCTCTCCTGACTTGCCCACTGCTCTCCTCAGCAGTGTATTTCAGTAAATCAGCCTGTTATGTTCCCCACTCTGTCTCTGGTGAATCCTCTCAACTCCCACACTCTGGTCTGTACCTCAGCTCTTGCATATATAACTAAATCTTTAAAAAAAAAAAATAGTGGCAACAGATGCCACACATGTGCCTTCAAAGCTCCAATTCTCCAATTATATAATGCCTCTCAACTAGAAACGATTTCTATCTCCTCTGGAAACTGTCACAGAAATTTACCTATTTCTTAATCTACTTTCCATCTTGTATTGTAAATTATTAGATTTTACATCCATAAATGACAAGTGCCATTTCTGATTCACTTTTGTATACTCTGCAATATTCAGTATTGAGTTTTGCAAACAATAAAAGACTAATACTTTTAGACAGATTTTAAAAAGTGTAGTTTAGCTGATCTTTAGAACCCAGACATGGTATAAAAAGTGTCATGGTCTTCGTAGACATAACATAGTTTTAAATAATAAACTGAGTTAACAAGTGTCACATTATTCAGTGACTTCACACAGTTAATATGATTAATTCTATTAGCAGCTTCTACTCCTACTACATGGATCAAGAAATGAAAAGTAAGGCAGCGGTTGAGCGCTGGGTTGCGAAGCTGCCCGCAGCCTCTGCATCGCCAGTTCGATCCCTGGCTGCTCCCTGGTCTCTGGAGAAGGGTCCCACATGGCACGCAGACCTCTCCTGCCACCCGCTGCTCCCCTCAGCAGTGTACTTCGGTCCTTCTGCCTGCTCTGCTCCCCGCTCTGGCTCTGGTGAATTCTCTCACCCTCCTGCGCTTCTGACTGTACCCAGTACTTGTATAAATAAATCTTAAAAAAAAAAAAAGAAAGAAAGAAAAGTAATAACTGGGTACAAATCCTCTACAGTATTCACAATCTTGACTTACAAATACTCTGGCAGACAACTTCCTAAACTGTCCATCAGTATCTTTTCTAGAAATGTAGTCAATTATGAATAGGCATGTTCTTTTTGTTTTTTATGATAACACTCACCATAAAAGTCTAGCATCAGCAGTAAGTCCCGCAATTGAGATGCCAATATGGTTGTCAACATGGAGAATTTTTTTCTGATGGGCTGCAAGCTCTGACTGTGCTCTCTAGAAACATTGTAAAATATAAACACCAAAACAAGTTTACAATTTTATTATCCAGATATTGAAATTTGTATTTGATTGTTCTGTTTTCAAAAAGAAGTCATATCTATTGCTTTACTTACCTTCAATGCAACTAACACTGCATGGGTTTTTGATTTCAGACCAACTGTGGCTGAACCTTGTTTGACAGCTTCCATTGCATATTCAATTTGATGAATCCTGCCCTAAAGAGAGAGAGAGAGAGAGAGAGAGGAAAAAAAACCAAAATCACATCTTAAATGTCATCTTACATGACCCTTTTATAATTTAATCTAGAATCATCAAATCTCAATTAGGCAGTTAAATTTCCAATGATTTTTTTTAACCAGGAAACTTATTCAAATGATAAAAATTTAAGTTTCAGAAAGATTTATTCACAGCCAACAGTTTTATGGGTTTCTAAATACACAGTAGCCAACCAAAAGTAACTTCATAGAAAAACATTTTACCTGAGGGCTCCAAACAGTTACATCATTGTCATACTGATTGCGAAACTGAAAGTAAAAAAACGAACCTATTAATATAAGAATATTACAAGCCCCAACTCTTAAGAAGCTCTATTATTAAAAAAGTTTTCATACCATTTCCATAAAACTTTAACCCAATCTGTTAGGCAACCTCACTGGAACAGTATTACTTTACTGGCTTGCAAACCAATTTCTACCTGTACCATGAGCTAGGTGGACAGGGAAGGAGATCTAAATGGGAATTATCTTTCCAACTTCCAGTTCCACCAAGGTCCACAGCACTTCCTTGGGCTCAATTACTAAAGTTCCTATGTGTCAATTTTCCTTCCTATTGTTCCTTATACTGGGCCCTAATAAATGGTCAAAGCATTCCTTTACTTTAACCTAGCTCAAATATCTGTCTCTTAAAGTCTTCTCTATCTTTCTCTCCTCTACCCCCCCCATCCCTTTCTAACTTAATATTAGGGACAAGTGCCTTCTATAAATATTCATATTGAATGAAAAATGAGGATCCTCAGGAAGTTAGAGGTGGACACAAATTAGCTACAAAGTCAGAATAATTACTGACCTAAAGACGGTATAAAAAGCACAGAGCTTGGGAGAAAAACCACCAAAGGGTACAAGACTTGGGTGTTGGAATGGCAAACGTGGGACTGGAAGCCTTGAGCCCTATTTTGTAAATCTAATTACATCACTTCTCTAAGCCTTAGTGTGCTCATTTGTAGAACAAGGTGACGAGACAACGTGATCGAAAAGGCCCTTTTCTGATCGAGCTCTAGGGGAGCGAGAAATCAGACAGACACCTACCACGATAACGGACGCGGTCTAGGAACCCAAAACCTGGGTGCAACCCGCCTTTGGAGACACCCAACCCAATTCCCTATTTTCTCTTTTCTCTCCCACACCCAGCACTAGGGGCCACCTTGCACCGCTCGGAACCCACTCCACTGAAGGAACTTCTGGGGCAAAATCAGCTAAGTTGATCGAACAGCTCGTGTCCGCGACTCGGCTGGGAGGGAACAAACCCGGGGACAGGCCTCTCTCACGCCCCACAGCCTCACTCACACCCGACCGCCTCACTCCCCGCCAGGCCTGACATGCTGAATCACTGCCGGAACCCTCGGGTCGGCTAAAGTCTCCACGCCCCGCGGTGCCAGGTCGCTCTGAGGGTGACAGAGAGGCGGCTCGCCATCTCCCCGTCAGCAGACCTCTGCTCCCAACCCTGCCTGGGCTCCGTATCCAACTCACCATGGTTCCGGCGAGGGACTGGCCACGGCCTCCTGCAAAGCTGCGGATCGAGAAGGGCTGCCGAGACGATCGTTCGGTGATCTACTCATAAGTCTGCAGGACTTTGACGGCGGCAGCGCAGGACGCAGCAATCTATCCCAGAGATATCGATAGGCGTCCAACACTTCCCCGCCCTCTCAACGCTCAGGCTTCACAGCGATGGGAGGGGCCTCAGAATCAGGGGGTCAGGGGGTGGGGGGGGCGGGGGGACTGAGATTGGCGGGAAACCTTGGGCCCCCGAGTGCCGGCAGCTATTGAGAGATGGGGGGCGCCCACACTGCAAAATCGCCCTTTTTGGATCTTCAGGGATATTACCTATGCAGAATCCCACCGGTTTCTCGCCCTTGGGCCGGATGTAACTGAAATACCTGGACACGACAGCTACAGTTCGGGGTGATCTAGTGAGCCCCTCAACGTCCATAGAGATTTGGGAGTGTGGTGTGTGACTGTGAGAAGAACGACTTGTGTGTGTCAACCATACTCTTCTTTGAAATCCTTTTCCATAGTCTCCGAAGAACTCATCTTTCAACGTGCTGTTGTTTTTGCTCATTATTTTTGTTACTGTTCCCCCACTAGATTTTGAACCCTTTGAAGGCACTACTGTCTTTTATGTGCTTTCAGAAAAATGCACGAAACCTGGTAGATTAGGCTGTTGAGGAAAAAATAAACATTTGCCTCTGAAACACATACCCTCTCTTTTGAGGGTGTCTTTTGCTATATTCCCAAATGAAATTGTTTAGGACAACTCTGCAAACAGTTGCCAACCTAACGTTTACCTACTGCCAATGATAACTTTATTTTCTTTATAAAGAAGAAAGGATGAGTTCCTAGACTCAGGTAAGTTGAGAATTGAAAGGGCCCTTGAGAATCTAAGCTTTGCAGATGAAGTAACAGATCATTTACATGATTTACTTAAGTTCAGAGCAACTTAATATCACACTTTCAAAGCTTTTCACTTACATATTTTGGACATTGTTCCATATTAAACATTGTTCAGGTTAAACATAAATCCCTAACATTTTGCATGATGAACAAAGATATATTTTATTCACCCAAATTCCTGTTAGGTTGGGCCCCTTCATCCCCCAGCAACTCATTTATGAGCTGCTTGATTTTTTTTTTGTGTGAGTGCATTTATGCTCCTTTCTTTAGAATAAATTCCTAAAAATGGAAATGCAAGTTCTGATGAAATGGCTATTTCTAAGGCTTTCGATTTAAAAGTACTAAGTTGACCTCCAGAAATGTTTTACCACTTATATTCTCAACAGTAGTATATGAGGGTAGTCTTCAAATTTACTAATACTGGTTGTTGTCATTTTCAGTGGATTAATTTAACAGATTTAACAGATTGTTTGTTTCCCCAGCACCTAAAAACACAGTGCCTCACACATAATAAGTACATAATAGATATTGTTAAATGAATGAATAATGCATGTTGACTGAGTAAATAAATGTTTACTTTAAAGTTGTTTGCTACATACATATTTAATAATTTTCCTGCAATTTTATATGCTCACATGCCTCACAATTATATTGATTATATAACTTTATTATTACAAATAAATAACATCACTTTTAAAGTTCATACTAAATATTTTATACTACATATTAAAAGTTGTGATCTTTTCATATCCTTAAGCAATAATCTATAATATATTGTTTTCAATAACTACATATTAGCACATTGTGTGGAAATACAATAATTAATTTAACTCTGGGTAAGCAATTGGATTATTTCCAAGTTTTTTCTATATATAATTCTATAGTGACTATTGTTACACATGCACATATTTTGTGTACTTTCCTGATTACCTCCTTATGATGAATTCATTGTAATAGAATTGTGGGGACAAAGGGAATGCAAATTTTCAATTATGATAAATGTGGCTATATTATGGGAAAAAAGTTATGTCAATTTATATTTTACAGTGCCTGATTGTTCACTTTCTTTATACCTTCACCAGTACCAGATGTGGTAAGTACCTTTTACATTTATCAAACTGAAAGGCAGATATAGGAAAGACATCTTGGTTTTATTTCATTTGTCTTTTTTGATTACTAGTAAAAATTCTTTTCATGTATTTCTTGGCTATTTATATTATTTTAGTGAATTGCCACTTTATTCCATTTCTCAATTTCTTATGTGTTAATCATTTTCTTTGACTGGTAGGAGCTCCCAACCATTAGGGATGTTAACTTCTTGTTATTGTGCTATTTTTTTAAAAGATATATTTATTTATGCATACAAGAGCTGGGGTACAGGCCAGAGATGTGGGGGGTGAGAGGATTCACCAGAGGCAGAGTAGGGAGCAGAACAGGCAGATTGACTGATATACACTGCGGATGGGAGCAGTGGGTGAAACAGGAGAGGTCTGCTGCGCCATGTGGGTTTCTCTCTGGCTGGCCGGGGATCGAACTCGTGCTGCAGAGGCCGTGGTTTGCTTCATAGTGCTGTGCTTAACTCCTTGCACCACCCGGAGGCCTATTGTGCTATTTTTATAGAAGGATCCTATTGGGTACAAAGAAAAGAAACAAGTTAGCTCAAGTGAAAGTTGAGGGTGGGGGGAGATGTATAACAAGGAGTCACATAAATATCCAAGAATAGAGATTTTATTCACTGAGGCATTCTTACTTCCTGTAAAAAGCCTGGCATAATAGTAGGCACCCACTAAACATTCATAGAAGGAGGGGAAGGAGGGAGGGAAGAAGGAAGGGAGGGGAGGGATAGTTTTCTCACTTCAAGCCTTTTTTTAATGATTATTTCCTAAGCAAATGTGTAGGGCTTTGTGATATATCCTCCATTCACAGTGTCTGGCTAGACTCTTTAGAATGACTCTTTTCAATGATGTGCTTGTAAACCATGAGAAGAAATGGCTTGGTTGATCTTTGAGTGAAGACTGAAGGTCTTAAGCATTCATCAAAGTTTTTATTAGACTTTCAGCTCCTCTATGCATGTTTTAGGGCTTTGACTCACAATACCTCTTGAGTGTTAATCAGGAGCTGATAATTGATCAAAAAGATATTTAATAGGAAAACTGAGTCAGCAAAGGTAGCATTACCTCTTTAATTTAAAAGTCATTGATAAATTATATCAGGCTTTTTTTAGAATCAAATAAAAATAAATTATAAATAACAAGCCAACTTGAAATTTTTTCCTCATGAACACGAAAATCTCATTGTGTTAGTCTGCTTAGCAATTGTAGTTAGTACATTATAAAATGATCTGTATAGGATAAAATTTGCAAATAACTTATTTTCGCACACACTGTCCCCTCCTCCCCCACCCCCAATGTTAAAACACATCCTGTGTAGTTAATTCTATCCTGGTTTTTGAATGAAATATGACATGAATTTCATGAGTCTTCTGGTCATTCAACTAAAAAAAGTTAAGTCAATTCAACAGCCTCAGATTGGTAATTAATAGATCCACTATAAAAACAAAAACTTTAGAGGCAAAGCTTATTCCTCCACCAACTTGAGCCTACTATGGCAAAAGGGGATGAGTTGATTTCCTCTCTACATGCCTGCCTAAAATTTCTCTCCTAAAATTTCTACTACTACCTACTATCTGTTACCACCACCATCAATTAGATTACCTTTCATCTCCCAGGTTGAAACAAAAAAGGGCAAGAGAGTTCTCAGCTTGGCTAGTAGAGTTCTGTGATTAAAGATGGATGCTCTGTCTTAGTAGACATTTATAATGGACACTTCCTACTTTGTGCCTTTGAAAACACCTCCATCCTCACCTTACCCCAATGAGCAAATACTGGTGATCTCTCATTTGCATTGGATAAATATATGTCATCTGACCTTCAGCTTATTGCCAGTTGCTAGCTTCTGTGATACACACCTTTATTTATTTTTTTTAACCATTCACTTTTATTTATTTATTTTTTTAAATTTTATTTTTATATTCCCCATACAATTTCAACCCCCCCATTCTGACCCCAGTCCCTCCCCTCCTGCCCCCCACCCTCCAAAAAGTGTCTCTGGTTCATAGTTTTTTGTTGATTTTGATTTTCACTTTCTTACAGTTATTCATTTTCCTGGTCCCTTATTTAAGTTTTCTAGATTCCTGCTATGAGTGAGACCATCCAGTATTTTTCTTTTTCTTTCTGGCTTATTTCGCTGAGCATGATCCCTTCCAGCGCCATCCATGTTGCTGCAAATTGCATGTGTTTCTCTTTTTTAAATGCTGAGTAATATTCCATGGTATATATGTACCACATCTTCTTGATCCAGTCATCTATTTTTGGGCATCTGGGCTGTTTCCAAAGCTTAGCTATTGTAAATAGTGCTGCTATAAACATAGGGGTGCAGGTGCTCTTTGGAATTGATGTTTCTGTGTCCTTTGGGTAAATACCTAGGAGTGGAATTGCTGGATCATATGGAAGCTCTATGTTTAGTAGGTCCAGAAATCTCCACACAGCTCTCCATAGTGGTTGGACCAGTTTGCACTCCCACCAACAGTTCAGAAGAGTTCCTTTTTCTCCACACCCTCGCCAGCATTTGTTGTTGCTAGTTTTTTTAATATGTGCCATTCTCACTGGTGTAAGATGGTATCTCATGGTAGTTTTGATTTGCATTTCCCTGATGGCAAGTGATGTTGAACATTTTTTCATATGCCTGTTGGCCATTTGCATTTCCTCTTCAGAGAAGTTTCTTTTTAGCTCTTCTGCCCATTTTTTGACTGGATTATTTTCTTTGTTTGTGTTGAGTCTCATCAGCTCTTTGCAGATTTTTGTGATCAGTCCTTTATCATTAGTGTTGGGTGCAAAAATGTTCTCCCAGTTGGTGGGGTTTCTCTTTGTTTTTGTCATTGTCTCTTTTGCTGTGCAGAAGCTCTTTAATTTGATGTAGTCCCAGCTGTTTATCTTTGCCTCCACTATCACTGCTTTGGGTGATGTGTCTGTAAAGATGTCTTTGATGTGCAAATCCCGTAGTGTTTTGCCTATATTTCCTTCTATGTATTTTATGGTTTCAGGTCTTATGTCTAGTGCTTTAATCCATTTTGAGTTGATTTTTGTGTATGGTGTGAGGTAGTGGTCAAGCTTCATTCTTTTGCATGTAGCGACCCAGTTTTCCCAGCACCATTTATTGAACAAACTTTCTTTGCTCCAATGCATAGTCTTTGCTCTTTTGTCAAAGATTAGTTGATCATAAATCTGTGGGTTTATTTCTGGATTTTCTTGGGGGCCCTAAAAAGGGCCTTTTTTCTGTTTAAGGAAGGGGTCCCGTACTGCGCCTAGCCGCCGAAGCCGTAGAGGGTGCGGCCCTGGCGCTTGAGCGCGTAGACCAAGTCCATGGCGGTGACCGTCTTGCGCTTGGCGTGCTCGGTGTAGGTGACGGCGTCGCGGATCACGTTCTCCAGGAAGACCTTGAGCACCCCGCGGGTCTCCTCGTAGATGAGCCCCGAGATGCGCTTGACGCCGCCACGCCGGGCCAGGCGGCGGATGGCGGGCTTGGTGATGCCCTGGATGTTGTCGCGCAGCACCTAGCGGTGGCGCTTGGCGCCGCCCTTGCCGAGCCTCTTCCCGCCTTTGCCACGACCAGACATCTCGGTGAAGCCAGAGACTGCAGTGATACAAACCTTTAACTTCTTTCTGTGGGCGTCTTCTCTTAATCCCATTTGACCTTTTTCTGTGGCCTATATTTGATTAAAAATAAAACAACACCAATAGAGTTGCTTTGCTTCATACCTCTGAGAAATGACCAAACTGAAAAATTTATCTTTTATGTTTTAGCCAGCCAAAATTTCTTCCATCTAGATTTTACTGGAATCTTAGCTCCATGAAGGAAAGGGATTTCAATCTTTTTTTTTTCACCTCTGCTGCCATTTATGCTCAGAATAGTGCCTGTACTTAATAAGAGCCATATAAGGATTAAATGAATAAATTCCTCAGATGTGAGCTAGACACTAATCCAATGTGCCCACCTGTTCCCCCTGCTCTAGGGATTATGCATCAAAGAACCACTAAAGCTCCCCCTAGGCAGGAGGTGGAGGAAAAGCACCGTCTACACGTAATACACCACACCCTCTCAAAATTTTCTAAACTTCAAAGTTTCTGACAGAGAAACGAGTAGTTGTAAGGGGCCTCCCCGGTGGCGCAGCGGTTGAGCGCTGGGCTGTGAAGCTGCCCACAGCCTCTGCAGCACCGGCTTGATCCCTGGCCGCCGGGGAGGGTCCCACATGGCGCGTGGACCTCTCCTGCCACCCTCTGCTCCCCCTCAGCAGTGTACTTCGGCAGTCTGCCTGTTCTGCCCTCCGCTCTGGCTCTGGTGAATTCTCTTACCCTCCCACGCTTCTGACTGTACCCAGTGCTTGTATAAATAAATAAATAAATCTTTTTTTTTTTTTTTAAAAAGAAGTGGATTTTTTTTTTTTAAGATTTATTTATTTATTTATTCAAGCACTGGGTACAGTCAGAAGCACGGGAGGGTGAGAGAATTCACCAGAGCCAGAGCAGGGAGCAGAGCAGGCAGAAGGACCGAAGTACACTGCTGAGGGGAGCAGTGGGCAGCAGGAGAGGTCTGCGCGCCATGTGGGACCCTCCTCCGGTGGCCGGGGAGCAGCCGGGGATCGAACCGGAGCTGCAGAGGCCGAGGACAGCTTTGCGACCCAGCGCTCAGCCGCTGCGCCACCGGGGAGGCCCTAAATCATCTTCTTTTTTTTTTTTTAAAGAAACAAGTAGTTGTGAAAGGAGGCCCCCAATTTTTTTCATCTCTACTTTTTGTGGTATTCCATTTCACTACTGAATGAGGGAATAGTTGGCACTTTCTTAGAGCCTTAGCCAAAACTGAGACAGAAAGAGCACTATTTTAACATCCTGCTACAGATATATAGAAAACAATTGCACTTATTAGTTGTCTCTATCTATTAAATCTTAAGTCCTCAAAGAACAGGGACCATGTTATATTTCCCTTTTTATATAGTGTCCCTTTTTATATATATCTAGTGTTTACACATGTAAAGGTTATTAAGAGTGTATGACTAAAATTACTTTAGAATTATTTGTAATAATTCCAAATACATTGCATGGTATCAAAGTTAAAAACTATTGTTTCTGGTACTCTTCTAATAGGAATTATTAAATATGGAAATATTTATAACAAAATTAAAATGACTAACACTTTAATGTTACCATGCTAGATATTCTATGTTGCTCTTAACATCTAATTCACCTCTTATGGATTACATCAGCAATGTCTGTTCCCTTCCTGCTTCTGATTGAGTTTAGCCAGTAGAGGTCACTAGCAGGAGATCAGAAGGCAGTAGGAGGTAGAGCTCTGCATATTACAGTCACTGTCTCTATGTTGGCCACTGGTTAATGGTGGTAGTGCATCATCCCTGCTGTTTCTCTGCCCATGTTCTGATTATATTTTCTTTAGTTGCCCCCTTTGAAGAGCCATCTGTTGGGATCCTGACTGATACAATAATATTTTTGGTTTTTATAGGAATCATTTTTCTTTCTGTAAGAAACACCTGTTATTTTTTGTGAAGTTGAGTTTATACTTCTAAAACATTAATATTAGGAGTTCTGAGGCAGCTGGAAAATAAAACCTAAGATAGAGGCTTTTCCCTGTTTGTTACTTGTTCAAATATATAAGAAAAAAGTAAACATACATTGGCTATAGACATATATTTTCCAGTTATAAAAGGAATATATAGCTTACATTTTTTTCAAGTACAAACCGTATGAAAAATAATCCCCTGTAAAGAAAATCACTGTTGGAAATATAGTAATATTTTTCCTACAATAATATCTTCTCTTTTTTTTTTTTTTTTTAAAGTTTTATATATTTATTTATACGAGCACTGGGTACAGTCAGAAGCGCGGGAGGGTGAGAGAATTCACCAGAGCCAGAGAGGGGAGCAGAGCAGGCAGAAGGACCGAAGTACACTGCTGAGGGGAGCAGCGGGCGGCAGGAGAGGTCTGCGCGCCATGTAGGACCCTCCTCTGGTGGCCGGGGAGCAGAAGGGGATCGAACTGGCGCTACAGAGGCTGCCGACAGCCTTGCAACCCAGCGCTCAACCGCTGCCCCACCGGAGAGGCCCAATAATATCTTCTTTTAAGAAAGGAGGAAAATTACCCTGATAATATATTTTCCAGTATTTGTAATATGTAATACATTGTCTTTGTGTGTGTGTGCATGTTGTGAGTGTCACTCTCATTCCATAGAAAGAAATCCTGCATTTCTTTAGATACATTTGAATCTGTCCCTGAGCCACCATCTTGCCATCCATCCAGGTGGGAAATTCAGTGTCAGTTATTGCTTGAACATTTCCTCTCCATCCAGGATTATATAAGGTTTCTAGGGCTTTAATTATTGTGGAAAAACTTGAAATTACCTCAAATTATTTGATTATCTGTCCACATTGGTTTGTTGGGCAGATTCCCTTGTGTGTCATCTTCCTTGCCTGGCTGACTGATATTCCTTTACTGTCCTTGAAACTCAGAAATCTGGAATCAAATGAGTGAATCTAACAACGGCTGTACCCAGGCATAGCCTTCCTCTTTGAGGTTTTGACACAATCATGGACTCTGTTACAGAGCAAGATGGGTCTAAGCTCTTTCCTCGAACCAGAGGCTTCAGACTTCTAAATCTTCAGGAATCTCTTTCACCTCACTCTCAAAGGAATTGCTTTTCTTTTTCCCCTTCTCATTTCAACAGACAAGGAGAGCCTGTGTTGTCCGTAAGCGGTCTTTGCTCTTTGCTTTACAAAAATCTGAGGTCTAAATACCTGCTTGAATGGGAACAAGGAGCCTGGGGATAGGGGAACACAGAATTAATATCTCAACAAAATAAACTGCTACACAAAATTAAATTTTTTAACCTACTTTTTAATTTAAACATTTATACCACAAACATTTCTTCATATCTCATGCTTTCTGTATCACAAGGAAGGTAACCCATTATATGAGTGTATCATAGTTTATTTAACCAAATATGATAACCTTTAGATAGCTTATTCTAAAGCTCACTTTATCTTCATCTACTTTCTTTTTTTCACTAGTTATTCAGAAGCTAAAGTTATATTTTGATAATAGAACAGAACAAATTGGAAATAGTAGGCATAATTTGGAAGAATAACAACTTGGAACTGTATCTAAACTATGTAATATAATTTCTCTCCTTGGTGTGTGACCAACAGGGAGGCCTGTACAAAAGCCATTGGCATACTTAAGTTGTTTAGAAATATTTTTTTTCCAGAAATTAAGCAATTATTACAGAATGTCATCTAGATAGTTGAGTAAGAATGAATCTTACATGTCCATGGGAAAAATTTAAGTTGGCTCTTATTCAAATTTATTTTTATTTAATTCTAAAAAATCCCGAAGTAACTAGCAATGACCTCTTAATTAAAGAACTAGTGCTGCTTTTCTGGTCGATTCTTTCCACAAAATATCTATATTGATCAATTTTACAGTTGCTGGTAAGAGTCAGGGTATACCCTCAGCCAAATCTCCAAGTCATGCCTACAGGAGCCAAAAGCCATTAAAACCCCCAAGAGACCAAATGTTTCTTCTGTTGGTCCACAAATGGGGAGATGATATAACAGTTATTCTGAAGAGGCCAGCTAACCTCCTCAACTCACAGAGCCATCAATATATACACAGAGGGGAATGATGAAAAGGACAGGTTTTAGAGTCAGATATTTCTCATTCTTTCAACAAATATTTGATTACTTTACCATATGCCTTTATTACTAAGATGCTGAGAATGTCTCTGGAAACAAAACAGATAAAAAGTCCTGAAAGGAAGAATGTTATGGGGTGAAATCAGAGAAGAACTAGGATGGGAGTTGCAGATAGTATAGGGTCTTTAGGCCATGGTAAGATCTTTGACTCTGGATGAGACAGAAAGCTACCAGAGAGTTTTGAAGAGAAAAATGTCATTACTGACATTTAAAAAGGATATATTCCAACCCTTGTGTAGAGAATAGACAATGGGCAGCCCAATAAATATAAGATCAAGGTTATGATAATCAAGTCACAGATTACAATAGCTAGGACAAACATTGTAATGTTGAGATGGAAGGAAGTAGTTGGAGTCTGAATATACTTTGAAAGCAGAGCCAACAGTACTTTGCTAATGGGTTGAAAGTGGCGTATAAGAAAAAGAGAGGCTTTAAAATGATGTTTTTGATCTGAACAAATGTGAGAATGGAGCAATAATGAACCAAGGCAATAGTGAGACAGGGGGAACAGGTTTAGGAAGAAAGATGATGTAGTTTAGGGCCTCCCCTGGTGGCGCAGGCGGTTGGGCGCAGCACTATGAAGCTGTCCGCAGCCTCTGCAGTGCCAGTTCGATCCCAGCTGGCCAGCGAGGGTCCCACATGGCGTAGCAGACCTCTTCTGTCTCAGCCGCTGCTCCCCTCAGCAGTGAATTTCGTCAGTCTGCCTGTTCTGTTCCCTGCTCTGTCTCTGGTGAATCCTCTCACCCTCCCACACATCTGGCCTGTACCCCGTTTCTTGTATAAAATAAATAAAATATCTTAAAAAAGAAAGAAAGATGATGTGGTTTATACATCTCAAGTAGACATCCTAATGGAAATATGGAGTAGTTAACTGACATCTAAATTAGAGCTTGGTGGAGAGATCCTGTGGGGGTCTTCATGTGTGAAGTTATTTAGAGCCATGAGACTGGAGTGAGAGTAAATAGAAAATAAGTTCAAAGATTGAATACTATGTTACACAAATACTAAGAATTAGGTTTGTGTTTTGAATTTAGCTCCTCATAAGCTCTGACACCTTCGATAACTTATTTAATCTCTCAACCTTTTTTTTGTTGTTGTTGCCTAATCCTGTAAAATGAAGATATTATTGACTAATATCCTTATGATTAGTGTGGTGACTAAGTGAATTTGTCATTTAACAAGCTTAGCACACTGCCTGGCACATGATAGTCTATAATTATTAGCTACTATTACTACTACTTTTAAAATCAGCATTTGTCTTCCAAAATATTGCTGACTGCTGTAGTGATAATATACTCACATCATTCATATTGTTGCTATGTCTATTGTTTATCTAGATAAAAAGTGGCAAATTAGAAGTGTGCACTTTAAGCTACATTTTCACATAAAAGCTCTTTTCAACTGTTAACTTTTGTTCCTTTTTTTTTTTTTTTTTTTTTTTTGTGGGACCCTCGCCGTGGCTGGGGATTGAACTGGCGCTGCAGAGGCTGTGGGCAGCCTCGCAACCCAGTGCTCAACTGCTGCGCCACCAGGGGAGGCCCTCAACTGTTAACTTTTGAAGTCCTCCTAAATATTTTGAAGTCCTCCTAAATATTTAATTTTGCTTTAATCTATTTTGAAAATTTTCAGTTATTTTTATTTAACTGCCAAGTCTATAATGCAAAACAAGAGTCTCTTCTTTAAAGTTTCGACATTCAATATGGCTGACTGCTACAAAAATAAAAACATGGTTGGTGAAGTTTGTTTGAAATAAGAACTCCCTTCTCTAACAAGTTTGAATAACCACTTGGTCTGGAAATTATTTCACCCTATATAAAAATGCCTTCTCATTTTAAAAATAAATAACATCATCCTATTGTTTTCGCACTTTGAAATACATTCTGATCTCATTTTTGTAGAAATCCACCTGAGATTATTTAGGAAAACAATTACTGTATTAAAGACAGGCATTTTGTTCTCTAGTGGATGAAAGCCAATATTTTTTAGTTTCAGGGTGGTTTCAGAATTTCTTTTCTTTGGCCTGTTGCTTAGGTGGCAAGGGTATCAATGGAAAAGCAAAAGGACAGAGACATAACTAAGTCAAAATTTTTCATTTGTTGTATTTCTTCTTTGCACATGACCCAAGAGAAAAATTTAATCTAGTCTACCAGTAGACTAATAATTCCTTAGATATTGGTCATAATAAAAGGAACGTGTCCTTTAAAACCAATGTTTTCTAGAATTGAAGTTCAAAGTAAAGTGCGCAATTCCCTTCTTTGCTGCTAGGTGGCAATTAATACCTTGGAGAGAAAAAAAATCCTGCCTCCCTCCCCCAGCTTTCCCCACCCAAAGAGATACGTGCATTTTCTCTTCCTTAAGGTAAGAATTCTCCTAAGGATAATATTCTCCTTCCTGCTTTGTTTTGTCCCAATGAATTTACATTCACCTTTTCCTTTAATTGTTAAGAGTAACACATACAAATCTAACAGACTGCTATAGCTAAGGAAGAATAGATCATATCTTTTAAAGAGGGTGTTTTCCAGAGTGTATGTTCATGAGTGATATTGAGTAGGAAGTTGCTATAATTTCCCTACAGGGATTTTTTTTCTTCAATTTTACTAAAAAATTTCCTGTGAAAGGAATTACAACTGGCCCTTGTTAATGTTATGCCAAATGTAATATAATTCAATATGAAACAAAAATGGAGAAAGAAAATAATTTTGAAAGTCCAAAAAGCAATTTCAACACATTGAAATTGAATAATGAAGTATAGGAAATAGAATAAAATAATTCTTCATGAGAGTAACAGAGAGGTATAATATAAATGTTTTTTTCCACTTTATTCAGATTTATCTGCTCCTAGCAAAATTATTTAAAGACTACACATAGTTTCTATGTGTTGTAAATCTAGCGAATCTATTCTACACCCTTTTTGAAATAGGTTATATTGTGTACATTGCTTTTGTCAGCTTTTTTACCAAAAGAATGATGGAGTAGGTATGATGGAGCAAGCTTTATATAAAAATCCAAATATCAAGTCCCTGTTCAAAGATGACTGTCAGTTTTGGTCTTAAACCAAGGATTCTCCCCAAGCTAACACCAAAAAGAAAAGCTGCTTCTGGCATTCTAGGCCTTCCCTGCATCCAGATGGCCTGTCTGTAGCCTGGCCAGAACCAAACCCCTCCTGCTGCCTTTTCATGCTGGCCTTGGATGACAGCCCCAGGCTACACCAGCTCCCATACCCCGTTAACTCTTCAATACCTGCGATTTTTAAGACGAGCTGGGACTTCCAATATGAATTTGGTTGAAAGGGTAAATCAAGTTTTAAGCTTGAAGCTTAGCTTCTGAAATATTTATCCACCTCACCTCTCCCCACCCCTCCCATAGGCTTCCTCCCAAAGTAGCTCAGCCAGCCAATTGGCATCAGAGGAGCACCGTTTGGAAGGGAGTGTGTGTGGGCAGCTTGCAGGTGAGGACAGAGCTGCCAAGACAGACCATGCGGTTAGTCCTGTGCCTACATCCAGTACCGGACTGTGCCTCTCCAGAGCATTTGTATATACACAGTAGCTCTGCTGTCCAGGGTGTGGGTAATTTCAAAAAGTGTTTTTTAAAATAACTCGTTGTTGGGCCTCCCCGGTGGCGCAGCGGTTGAGCGCTGGGCTGCGAACCTGCCCACAGCCTATGCAGTGCCGGTTCGATCCCAGGCCGCCAGCGAGGGTCCCACATGGTGTGCAGACCTCTCCTGCTGCGCCCACTGCTTCCCTCAGCAGTGTGTTTCGTCAGTCTGCCTGTTCTGTTCCCCACTCCGGCTCTGGTGAATTCTCTCACCCTCGCGTGCTCTGACTGTACCCAGTGCTTGTATAAATAAATAAATAAATCTTTAAAAAATAAAATAAAATAAAATAACTCGTTGACAAGACTTATGTTCAGTAAACAAGGATGCATAATGGGGAATATAGAATGATCATGCGTGGATTTAGGTGAGAACTTTTCTGAAGTAGTTGTGCCAGAAACACCAATCTAGTCTAGATTTGAAAAGCACCCTTGGAAATCTTACTAGTGGCAGTCATTGTTTTCGAAGGTGGTTTGTATGTGGGAATTTCACTAGAAGGTAATACAGAAAGCAAATTCTGTATCTAAAGGCAAAATTTCCCTTTGGTGTTAATTTTTTCCACAGAGAGATGTTAATAACGATTTACAAGGTTGCTTCTCAGTTGGCCAGGATACATATTTTCAGATGAAAGCCTGTGACTGTGTCACTTTCTTTCCCTTTTGTTTTTGAATCTCATTTCTTAGTTCTCTGCTTGCTGTTATTTTTAATTATTATTATTACTATGCTTGTTGCCAAGCTATTCTACTTTCCACAGAGTTGATTAGAGACCTGAGAACTCCAGGCCAACATAAAATCCTGGTTTCCAAATCATAATACATGAACAAAGGAAAAAAATGGCAAAATTACTAGCTTTTATAGAACTCTTAAAAAAACAACAACCAAAAACTAAGGAACCTAGAGCTGTAGAGAATGGAGTTTAAAAACAGGAACCCATAAACGGATCAAAAGCCATATAACATTGAGATGAAAAGAAAGTGTATAAAAGAGATTGTAAACATAGACCTGATATGTCTATTGATTTTCATTATTTAGCCTGAAGTGCTTGGTGGCTACTCAGCAATAGAACCTCTCTTAACTAACATAAAAAGGCACTCTGGCATCAGCTTCCCATTTGTGGCTTCAGAACTGAAACCTTTCCCTTGACCCTCTCTACGAGCCTAGCTCTGTTCTGATTTTCACTCCCTGGGTTTCAGCTTCACCAACTTGCTTCTCAAAGTTGCCTGGCCCACAAATGCACAAAGTTGTCTTATGTGGATGACCTTGTCTCCTTGTAACTAAGACAATAAAAATTGGGGCTCTCCGTCCAGCTCTTAGCTGGATGTGTCAGGCCACCTTTGGTAACATTTCTCCCAGCTAGACCCAGTCCTCAGGATTCTTCCTTCTGTGAAAAACACAGTGAACTAGACAGACATCTAGGAAATACTATATCCTCTCGAGATGTGAATCACCTATGGTTCAGTGGAACCACAGTCTGGAAAGAGCAAAAAAATGTAGAAAGAGCAAAAAAGCTGCATCATTTCTTTACAAAAACATCTATTTTTCAGTTTTATACATTACCTTGTACATAACTTATCAATCTTTTCTTACTGATGACTGATACCTGATGGATTGCAATTGGACTTTCATAGAACTCTAAAGTACTACTCCCACTTGAAAGTGTGAGGAAAAAATGTATGAAAACAAAAAAGGAACTAACATGTGAAGTTAGAATCCACTTTTCCTCTTAGAATATCTGAATAAAAACTCAAAGAGGAAGATAAGTCATGTAATGTTGGTTTAAATAAGTCAACTAATGTTGGTTAATGCTCTTTTAAAAATGTATTTTATTTTACTTCCCCTTTCATTTTGAGAGGAGAGGCAAAAACTTGAAAGTACCATTCCATTCTAGTCTAAAAAGAAACTTGCTGGCTTGGGAAATATTAGAAATTTACGAAAAGCAATACATCTCCCCCTAATTAAAGTGTTGTATTTCCCTCTACCTTCCCCATTACCAAGAGAATATATAAATATGTGTGTGTGTATGTAAAAGGCATCCTTGCATAAAACCCTTAGACCAGATTTCACAATTTTTGTCCTATGCTAATGAGAAATCTTTATTTAGTTTCAGTCTTTCCAAATAAGCTTGTATGTGTCCAATCCAGCAAATGCTGGAGTCGGTCCTCTTTGTCCTCTCTCCCTTGACCCCCTGCTGAAACCTGGCTCAGTCTGTTCGTCTATTCGTGAAACTACACCCATGCTACAGAGCATTTTTATCATTTCACAGGGTCACACAGTACAAATGGGTGGGGGACTCCATTCAGGCCAGGAAGATGATAGAGATTGGCAGCTGTTCAGTTTAGCTGGCTCAAGGGAAGTTCAGCTTCCTTGTCCATTCACAGTCTGTCTCTTCTGTGCTGACCTTTGACTAACTGACAGGACTCTCCAGCTCAGAACCTGTTTCCTCTTTGCCCACACTCCTTTTCTTCTCCACATTGTCCGTACTTCTGAATGGAAGAGGGGAAAGCCTGAGGAATAGGTGCTGGGGAGAGGAAAAGTAGAAAAGTATGGCTTCCTGACTTTGGAACCCATGAGGTTCACCCTTTGATTAAGGGTGTGGTACTTACCTTTAAAGGATGTCAATATATCTCATGCAAAATTTTTTTTAAAGATTGATTGATTGATTGATTGATTGATTTATACATACATACATACAAACACTGGGTACAGTCAGAAGCGCGGGAGGGTGAGAGAATTCACCAGAGCCAGAGCGGGGAGCAGAGCAGGCAGAAGGACCGAAGTACACTGCTGAGGGGAGCAGCGGGCATGGCAGGAGAGGTCTGCGTGCCATGTGGGACCCTCCTTTGGAGGCTGGGGAGCAGCCGGGGATCGAACCGGTGCTGCAGAGGCTGTGGGCAGCTTCCCAGCCCAGCGCTCAACCGCTGCACCACTGGGGAGGCCCTCATGCAAAATTTTTATAACATGGAGAATTTAGTATGTTCTGTGCATCAGTGTAGCTTACATACCGTAGGAGAATATGCTAGCCCATCTGTAACTATCCATGATTGTTTTTATACTCCATATTTAATGGAAATTTTACAAATATTTTGCTTTCATTTTATTTTTATTATTGTCAGTAGCTCCACTATAAAGAAATTGAAATTGATTCTCAGAAAAATTACTATGCATATATACATTGATCAAGTAGCTTATAGAATCTGATGCTGAAGCCTTTCAAAATGCAAAATATTTTATGATCATCTAATTGACTTTGAGAGACACAATTAAAATGTACTTAAGCCCTACCATACCATGTTTAAAATTTAAGACAAAGGTAAACAATATGGGGTAATGATTGTTAAATTGAAGCTACCATTGCATTTATAAAAGTAAGATTTGATTGTATTTTCCTGGCTTTCTTTCCCCTGTGATGATTTTAGTATGGTGGCTGAGTTGTATATATGGCATCTTTTCTCCTGCTAACTTCATACAATGCCATCTATCATTTGGGGGTATCTATAACCCTTACATCTAGCCCACTCTTTTTACCTTCCAAAAGGGGCACTCAACTAAAACCAGAAAAACTTTTTCTAGTTCGTTGGCTACTTGTTGAAGGCAATTGACTGCTTTTCAATAGAAAACATTTCCTTCCCCCATTGTGCCTCCTCTACCCCCTAAAACACTTCACAAAGGTCTGACTGAGCCCTCTTGCAATTGCCAGATATAGTTCCTTAAATAAACAAAAGAAAACAGGGCTTCCCTGGTGGCTCAGCGGTTGAGCGCTGGGTTG